GTTTACGACTTTGTTCTCTTCTCGAGGAATAACTGAAGCGGAGACGATGTTGAAGGAATTAAACGAAGTAGGGAAGCGAATAGGACTGCAAATTAACCGGAAGAACTCAGTTCATGAAGAACGCTTTTTGCGAGTACCAAGAAGTAATTGGAATTAGAAGGTCTAATCGCGGTGTATTCTTAAGTATATCTCGGAGGATCGATGGACATAGAGAACGATCTGAAAAAGAGCTAGGGCCGCCTTCGGGCTCCTAAAGGAAGTCACAGACGAAGTGAAGAACTCACAGCTCCGAGCCCACCTTTTCGATTCAACCGTTCTCCTTGCGCTCTGTTACGCAGCAGAGACGTGGCGACACTGTAGCTACTTCGAAGGCATTCTGAACAACCTACAGAGCCTGGAACAACGTCTTCTGAAGTACAACCGACGCACAATATCTCGTCGGACTTCGCAGTTTAGATATGAGATCAATGTTTCGTCATCGCGATCCAGCGGAATGCGTCTCAAAACATCGACGGGCTGTTCATATAATGATGACAGACACTAAGAACTCTGGAATGAATCCCTCGCAAAGCAAAACATTCTCGGGGAGGCCAACAACCAGATGTGACGGATGGACTGCTGAAAAATCTCAGCCGATAACTAGTGATGGATCTGGACCTCACAAACGTCGCCGCCGCCGTTCAATACCAACATCGTGAACGACGCTAGCGAGAGACAGAAACGGATGGAAACAATGCTGGAGCCTGCACGACGAGTGAAGACAAGCCATCTAAGTATCTGAGCAAGTATATTTTAAAAAATGACAACAACCCTATCCAATATTTTAACATGTGTTTCCAGCACCATAGCAAATTGCGGAAAACGATTCAAAAGACAATCTGTAATCATCGGAGCGGTTGGCATATTCATAATGCGTATGATCTTATCCCAACGCTCCACTTTGCAGCAGCTTTGACAATAAAATTAAACGCTATTTCCCCCGCTGAAATAGCCCTTGTTATCGGGCAGAACTTCGTCCGAATTGGTTTAGAAACAGAAAATCGTATTTGAATATATAGACATACAGACATATATGTGCATACAGATATTGCACCTTACTGTATATAAAATCGATGATATGCAATATCAAATCCTTTTGGAATTTTATGACCTTGAAAAAATCCGCATATACTTCTACAACAATTTCGTACAATTATAAGAACAAAAACTTTCGGCTCGCCTCTTATTATTTATTATCAATCTTTCTTCAAAAGATTTCATTTCAACTAAAATCTACCAAGAATTATCTAACAAAACAACAGCAACTTTCTTATTTCTATCATTTATGTTTGAGGCGCTTTGTAAAGACAAAGTCTTAGATGCATCTATACGTCGTTTGTGGCTTCTCTTAGCCATTTGGACGACGTTTCTATGGGAAACATGAGACGTCATTCAAAAATTTCATAGAGTGGCTGAAGACTAGTCGTAGCATCCAATCAATCTCTTGACAAGGAGGTGGTTGCATTAGTGCCTGGGGAAATGGCAAATTGTGAGACCATGTAGGTGCTGTTCTACATCCTGGATTCATCTGTCCCGCAAGGTGGCCTTATGGTAGCGCTTAGAGAAAAGGTGAGAGACTATGTAAGTACTGTTCCCCATCCAGGTCGAAAAGGTTTATGAGAGCACGTAGTGCTGTTCTCCATCCAGGATTCATCTGTTTCACAGGGTGGCTTTCCTGGATCGCGCACTTTGAGTGCGTTTTGGAGGGCCTTTTAACTTACGTGAACATAATCTCAGAGATAGCACTTTGTAGCAGAATTAAACGGTAATTTTCAGCTGCTTTTACTCAGCAACCCAAAACGTTAACATTATTTA